GAGAGATAGTTATAGTCAAGGAGGACAGTTGAACCTCCTCTTCTAGTTTCTTAGTTTCTCAGTGAAACATTTGTAAAGTGAGGCATTTTGGTGGGTGAGATCCTCAACAAATTGAAGTAAGTCCTTTTGTAAAAACCTCAAGTTGGAAGAGCTTGGTAGTGTATCGATTCATAGTGAAGAAATTCTCAAGGAGCATTCTTGAAGAGCGGACGTAGGCCGGTGAGCCGAACCATTATAAATCCCTGTGTTAAGTTCTTCTTTCCTATTCTTTTTACTTTATGTTAATTTATTGATTATCTGCTGCATTTAATTACTTAAGATCTTTTGAACCTTATTTTTTAGACTAAATTATTTAATAACCCAATTCACCCCCCCTCTTGGGTTGCTTTCCTGCTTAACATTTACAAATTATACTTTCATTTTTAGAGATGTAATTGATTCGACGTGATTAGAAATCTTTATTACAAATAATAATGCTTAGTAGCTCGAATTTTCATGGCCCGAATGCCTCGAATGTCTCAAAATAACGTCGTTTTGGAGGTAAAATGACATCGTTTTAATACATTCGAGTCATTCGGGCCACACAAATTCGAGCTACCAAGCATTTTTTTATTACAAAAAGTGTATTTATTAATCTCATAAATTGTACATCATATTATGGTCGGTTCAATAGTATTTATATAATATTTTTAAAATCAAAACACAAAAAATTATATAATAATGTGTTAATTATATCAAAATCTTCTTAATTATGGGTGAATATTAATTTATTTATTTTTATCTATGAATTTATACATCTTGACTGCTCAATTATAAAAAATTAGTAAAAATATGATTTTTTGCATCTGTTTTTTGCGACTAATTATTTAGCTGTCGCAAAAAATTTACTTTTTACATTAAAATCTCATCTTACTTTACCCAATCGTGGTCTTAACCAAAAAAAAAAAAAACGTAAAACTTGACGGATAATACTAGTATCGTGAAAAAGATATCATGAAGAGTTTTGATCCTTTGATTAGTGTGTGGTATTTTTTTTGTATATGTAAAAAAATATCATGAAGAGTTTTCATCATTTGATTAGTGTGTGGTGTTTTTTTTTTTTGTATATGTAATCTAACGGTGGAAAATCTTTCATCATCATTTTCATGATACCTAAATCTGAACTCTCTCTCTCTCTTAAAATCTGTCTCGCTCGACTCTCTCTTTTGAATCTCTACTCTTTCTCGCTCGAATCTCATTGCCTCTCTCGCTCGACAGTGTAGATTTGAAGATTTGATTGACTCATAATCTTCTATTGATGAAGATTTGAAGATTTCAATCTGCTGTTGATGAAGATTTCGATTGATTCATAATCGAGATTCATAATCGGTAAGGCTAAACACTTCTCTTTGTCTTTCTTTGTGACGTTTGACACATCTTCATCGATTAATCAGTAATGTGTAAATTGAAAATGAATTACTCTCTGTAATGGTTGATTAATATGTAATCTTCATCTTCATCGATTACTTTTTGTAATGGGTGATTAATCTGTAATGTTGGAAGGTTGATTGAATAATAATAGAATAAATCTCTCTGTCTTTAAAGGTTGATTGAATAATAATAATAATGTTGGAAGGTTGTTCCCAGATTTCCAAGTTTTGAATCTGAAGTTGCTAGCCAATGATGACAAATTGTTAATTGACCAAAATGCAAGTTTTTAATATTTGTCGTGGTGTTGAAATTCTTGAACTAGGATGGTCTGAGGCCGAAGTATGACTAAGCATTATAATGTTAGTTGTGAAACAAATAGCTAGCTAGTAAAACTCAAAAGAGTTCTTATTTCCAAGTATGTTCTCTTCTAGATTTTGATTCTTGATTCGATTCAATTCACGATTCACACAGTTAGAATTTTGATGCATGATACGATCCTTGAATTGACAACTATAATACAATACAACAGGGACTACTGGTGCACTTGTGGAAGCAAGAATAGTTGGAATTAATGTTATCATTGGAAGGTGAGCTATCTAGGTTATTTTTTTGTTCTCTGATTATTATATTTCCTATCTTCCGCTAGTCTTAATTTTTTGTGCTTTGAATCACGTGGGAGAAAGGCAAGGGGAGTCATGCAATTCTGTTTGCAAGTCAAATGGCCAGTCATGTGTACCAAACAAATTGTCAATACTTAATTAATATGAAATGTAATCTTTATCTTTCATGCATTTTTCTGCATTAGTTTTTTAGTTGGTTATGAATATGCTGATTTTATAGCTGACCATGCTTATTATTCTTTATGATGCGGGTAGGTGTTATCAGATGCTTTGAAAGAATCTTCCTATTTCTTTAATTGATCTAAAATTTCAATTATTTTCTTAATGGATGAAATCCTTTGGAACAAATGTATCCGTAGGGTGTGGACAATAGAAGATTCATTCGTGAACAATGATAAACATATATTATCAATGTAACTTACATTGAGAACTTTTATGTCCATTCCCACGCCTGCTGCTTTTTCCTACAGTGTTGTTTCTTTAACATGTCTGCAAAGTTTATTATTATTGTTGTTTTTGTTTTTGTTTTTGTTATCTTTATATGTTATTCTTGTTGCAAAGTTTATTATTATTATTATTGTTGTTTTTGTTTTTATTATCTTTATATGTTATTCTTGTTATCTTTATATCTTTAAAACAGGAAAGTGTAGAAGAAGTGTTAATGTCGTCAAACTTCCGTGCTTAATTCTTGCCTAATTTTTTGTTCATAGCTGAACATTTTCTCTCTATTTTTCTCATAATGCTAGTGTTGTTTTGTATGCTTGGGCTTGTGAATTTTGATTATTTTGCAAAAATTCTGAACTTGCTTGATTTCAGTTCTGAATTCAAATTATTATTATTATTTTCTGTCATGTTAGATTGGAGCATGTGTGTGGATTTTAGCTTATAGTCGTATTTTGGTGAATTTCAGATGTGCTTTGTAGAAGACTATAGAATTTGATCTAAGCATTGGTTGTTCTGTGCTGTGAAAATGATGAAGGTGTATTTTCTATATCCAAATTTCTATCATCTCTTATGTAATTTGTGAAAGAACAGTTTCTACTAATAGAAAACCAGGAAGCAGAGAAGAATAAGAAAGATAGAAAAATGAAGAACTAGATTTTATTATTAATTTCTTGAGAGAGAAAACAATAAAGGACTTTGGTAGCAACTTTGTTACGGGGCTAGTTACAGCTGAGAGCTATGCAAATAATAAAGGACTTTGTGGGGGTCCTTTGAAGCATTGCAAGGCTCCTGATGCTTACGATCATACTTTCTACTTAAATGGCTTCGCGGTTGGTTGTTCGGTTTCTACTGTTGTAGTTTTTGCTCTGACTTTGTTTTATTTGCCCATTGATCCACTATTAAAGAAGATTATGAGTAGCAAGATGAAGAAAAGAAACCAAGAGGTGGTTCAGCAAAGCCAATGGCGCCCAATTTCAATGAATAGAGTTGAGGATACCAAGGTTGAACATCTCTCTCTCTCTCTCTCATACATTTTGTGTCTTTTCCTCCCTCCATGTTCAGTTGTTCCTTGTTTGTTGTCAATTATCCCATTAGAATTTTTGCTCTTTCTCATTTTCAAGTGGTGTAAGAAAAGCAAATGCAATTACAACATACCAAAGCTGCTATATCTTATGTTCTTAATTATAATTTGAATTGGTATAATATATAACCTCATATTATGGTAACAAACAATGTTTGTCTATTTTTCAAGTGGTGTAATAAAAACTAGGGGTGGGCAACGGTTTATCCGAACCGCTCAACCCGCCCAACCCGCCCAACCCGCATATAAATGGGCGGTTTCGCAAACATAATGCGGGCGGATGCGGTTTGAAATATGGCAAATTTGCAGGTTGCGGGCGGGTCGCGGGTTAAAACCGCAACCCGCAAAAACCGCCCGCACTTTAATTAGTATTATTATTATTATTTTTTATATACCAACTTTGTAACTTTAACAGGAGCACCATTATGTTCTCTATGACACTAGGATCCTTATTTTTAAGTATTTCTCAACTTTCTTAATGTCGTAGAATTATCAAGTCCTAAACTTGGTTTCTTATATGATTTTCATTGATGACTCATCCACTTTTTCCTAATAAAATTTTTCTTCTGGTGATCGATGAAGCTTCTAGTTTGATTATTGATTATTGAATTGACAATTCTAATTGAGTACAACCTTTAATGCATTGATATACATTTTTTTCATGACAAAAATACTAGTGATATTCAATTTTTATTTGTAAACTCATCAAAAAATTGTTATCAAATTATCACAAATATATAAAATGAATTTAATGCCTAAATTCGATGGGAAAAAAAAACTTAAAAATTAATTTTTAAAGAAAAAAGTGTAAACCGCAAACCGTCCGCAACCGCCCGCACATCTACAAACCCTATCCGCACAAACCGCAAACCGCATGGCGGGCGGTTGCGGGTTGACTTTTTCCTAAACCGCATAGATGTGGGCGGGTCAAAACCGAACCGTAAACCGCACAAAACCGATCCGCGAACACCCCTAAGAAAAGCAAATGCAATTACAACATACCAAAGCTGCTATATCTTATGTTCTTAATTATAATTTGAATTGGTATAATATATAACCTCATATTATGGTAACAAACAATGTTTGTCTATAACAAACAGTGTTTGTCTATAACATATTATTTTATAAACAGAGTGATAACATCTTCTTCTAGACTCAATTTCAAACACTTGGATTAATATATTTTTATTGTTTGCATATCCAAATTAGAGTCTCGGTTCTTTCTTTCTGGACTCATTTTCAGATTATTCAGCCAATTACTTTTTATTTTCCTTTGTAGTTGATACTATAATTTGGTTCACAGATTTCTAAATTAGAGAAGTTGGTTACTAGAATAAGCTTCACAGAACTCATGAATGCTACTAACAATTTTAGCGAAGACAACATCATTGAGTTGGGAAAGACAGGGACAATGTACAAGGCAGTTTTCTCAAATGGTTTGTTCTTTGCCATCAAGAGGTTATTCGACTCACAATTCTCTGAAGGACACTTTATGTCCGAGGTAATCACTCTAGGTAGATTGAGACGCATTAATTTAGTACCTTTGTTTGGTTTCTGTTATAAAAGAAAGGAAAAACTGTTGCTTCTGCAAATTCTGATAGCAATTTGGTTGAATGGATCATCAATCTTGTAAGTACCTCTTTTAGTTTGCAAGATGTAGTTGATGACTCTCTGATCGGGTTGGGATTCAATGGTGAGATCTTTGAGTTCATGAATATTGCATGCAAATGCATTCAGTCGGTGCTAGAGCAGAAGCCAACAATGCTGGAAGTGTACCAAACAATGAGGGCCACTGGGGAGAAACATGGCCTTGTGGACGATTCTGAGATGTGGAAAGAAACAAAAATTGCTACTGCCAGTGCTAGTGAGGGAGATGTTGAAATAATAGGGTAGATGAAATAGGCTGGACAAGCCAAATTCGATGGGAAACATTGTGTGATTTACTTAATTTTTAATGCAATATTATCATCATTATTAGGAGCACAACTTAAAATAAGTTGTTGGAGTTTGTGATATGTATAAAAGTTTATATTTTGTATGCACATTTCTTTTTTATTTTTTGAAGAAAGATAATTTTGTTGAGGGAAGTGATGGAAAATAATACATGAGTATTAGAATTTTTGCAAATATCACTTTACATTTATTGTATATAATATTTGAATATATATATATATATATATGAGAATATAGATTGTTAAAACATTCTAGGCTTTTTGCTCAAAAATTTTTTTGCGACGGTAACAAAATGGTCGCTAATACATTGTAGGCATTTTTAAAATTTTTTTGCGATGGCAAAACATTGGTTGCCATAAGTAGATTAAGCGGTCGCAAATAGTTTGCGATTGCTGTTTTGAGGTCGCAAAAGTATTTTCCACCCCCACATTTGCGACCCTCATTTGCCATCGGATGGGCCGCAACAAAAGGTCTTTTGCGACTGTTTTTTTATTATTTGTGACGACTTATAGCCGACGTAAAAAATACTTTTTTTAATAATGAAAGTGGATAATTTTCACCATTGTAGACCATCTTCAGAAGGTAGCATTTTCACAACATTTTCACAATTTTTATAATTGAGAGGTCAATATGTATGAATGCTTCACAAATAGTTGATAGAATTTTGATATAATTAACCTACAATAACCCAATGCCCCGAAGTAACTTTGATTATGAGATTTTTGTATTATTTTTATTATGAATTAATTTAATTTTGTTCATCTGTGTAACATAGCTTTTAGGGGAAGCTTGTTTAGACGGATTGGGTAAAAGGAGATTGTAATCCATTGGATTGCTAATCATTAATGATGTGTATTTTATATTTGTTTAGTTATAGGATTAGAAGTTAAGAAATGACTATTTTTAAAATTATGTTTTATTTTTTATTTTTTTCACAAAACTATTTTTTTTTTTGTTTTAAAAAAAATTAAAAATTAGTTTTTGAAAGCTAAACCAAACATGTCTTAAATACTTTGAGGACAAATTTATCTTTTTACTAGTTAATCCAAATGAGAGATTGTCCAGAGACTATGTATCACACCCCTCTCCCTATGACAGGATAGTCTTACGTATGGAGGACTAACAGCTCGGTCGGACTATTAGTCCAATTTACAATTTTTCAACCAAAAATCAGACTAGTCAATATGGTGAACATGGAATCCAATCCTCCCTTCCAATCTCTCTAAACAAACACCCCCTTATTGTTCTTTCTAGAATCTCTCTCAAATAATAATCATAAGATTTTCAAATCTTGAATTTTTTGGACTATGTTTAAATTTTAAATTTGTCAAGGAATTTTTTTTATTTTTTTATTTTTTTATATCTTCCATAAATTTCTATGCAAGATTCAATTATAGCCTTAATAGAGATGGAACTAGTTGGCAACTTGGCAAGAATCATAGTCATGGATGAGCATTACCAACAGCCATATTTTGGCCAAATCCCTTTTTTGCACATATGCAGTTGACCACATCTACCCGCTTCAGTAGTTATATCCACCAACATTCCTTTTCTTTCTATGTACAAGTCATTCACCAAGAGTCATCTTTTAGCCCATTGCCCTGTGGCAGTACTTAAGTACTTGCTTGGAAAAGTTGGGAGTTCAAGATCACTAAAAATAAATAAATAAATCAATAAATAAAAAGGAAAAAAAAGAAAAAAAAAGTTGTCTTTTGGTGAAATTGTTGAAAAAATTGAATAAAATTGACTTCAATGATTGTGTTGGTGTCTCCTTTTCAAGAATCACAACTCTTAGTAGATGGTTGTAACCTTTTTAAAGAGTTGCGAAAGGAGTCTATAAATTCCATCGCCCTCACTTCTGTCTTGGCATTGAATTTGACCATTCGATTATGCCTTCTCCTTCCTCTCTATCTACATTTACCTTTCATATTTTTTGAGTAATGCTTTTCAACAAAGAGAATGCATGTACAATGATGTTCTTCAGGCTTGTAGTGGTATTTTTGCTTCTACAAGATATCGATTGTTATATATTGGGAGATAAATGTCAATTGAATGTCAATTGAATCTTAAGCATCAATGGGACAACAAATTCTGTCTTAGTGAAATAATATCCAACGCTAGTCTCAATCATTTTTTGCATCTGCAATCTTGTTCTATAAGTTTATGTTTAATGTTTTGGACTTCCTTATTTTTGGTTAAATAAATAAGGTCTTTTTCTCTGTTTGGTTTTTACCAAAATATTTTGTGGATATTTAAGTTATATTTTATATATAATTTTGGTATTTTTTTTTTCAATAGAAACTCCTCTTATAATTTTTTTTTTATTTTATAAATTGATTTGCTCTTCCTTTTTGATTAAAAGAAAGAATGGAATGAGAGGAATTTATGATGATTTCTATGATGATAGAAGCTTTCAGGTTGAGGGGAAGGGGCTTCTATGGCCAAAGATTCATGTGTATATATCTATATGGACATGGTGGTTTTTATATATAGTTACAAGTTTTAGCTCTCAATTTAAAATTTTATTATTTTCAAATTGTTTCGAAAATAATGAAATTTCAATATCCAAAGTGAATTTTTATTATTTCAAGTGAAATTATAGTGACATTTTACTTACCGTCTGAAATGATCATCAATGTTTTTCCCTCAAAATTTTCAATTCATCATAATTTTATTTGATAAAAATATTTATGCAAGAACTTCAAAAATATAAATTTTATTCATATATAGATCTTGTTTGATAATTCTAGATGAGGGAATTTAAAAAAATACAACTTTGATAAAAAAAATTAAAAAAAAAATTGAATTCAAAAGTTCATATTCATTTATATAGCTTGTTTGATAAATGTCGATGATAATTTTTTTTAAAATACAAATTTTATAAATAAAAGAATAGAGATCCAAATAAAAAAATTATTAAAATTTTAAGTCTTTAAGTCATTTGAAAGCAAAACATTGCTTATGAAACATTAGTATTGGGACATGTGGTTAGAAAACAACCTCCAAAAGTTTAGAGGCCTTGCATTACATGTTTTTTCCTTATGTCTTTTTATACTAGTAAAATCTTATCTTATCATGGGAGGCTTGTAGTCAAAGCCTTTTTTTTAACCCCAAAATACATAGAGGAGAATCTCACATGTCATTTTTCTTTTTCCTTTCTCTCTTTTTTTTTTTTTAAAAAAAAAAAAAAAAAGATTAAGAATTGGTAAAAGCTAGAACATCAATGTGAAGCATCCAACTGAACTAAAGCTGGTATAGAAACTAGAACCTCCTCCAACCACACTTGCAGTGGGTAATCAGCGGAGGCTACCCTAGCAAGATGATGTGCAACGTTGTTCCTTTGCCTACCAACATGAGAAACACAAAAGCTTTGAAACGATGCCCCGAATTCTGCTATTCCTCGCGTGACATGACCAGTGAGAGAGGGAGTACTCTACCTTAGCAATATTAGTTATCACATCTAATGAATCTCATTCTAAGTGGATGTCACGAAGGCCCAATTTGGCCATTTTTTCCCTCGCCACAGCTTCGATATAGTTTGCTTCCATTAGCCGAAGGATGCATTCAGACAGAGTTCCAATTACTTCACCCATGTGGTTCCAAACAATCACCTCCACACCTGCCGCTTGAATTTTTTTTATTTTTTATTTTTTTTTTTGAAAATAGCCCCATTGAAGTTCAACTGACAAATATTAGAGCAAGGCGCTACCCATGCACAAGTGCCAGGTCAACTTTGCAGCACTTGAACCCTTTGCTAAACCTTCTAGTACTCCTGAAATTCCTTACTTGTCTGACTAAAGACATCCATGGGTGTAGAACACTTCTTGTGGAAGACAAGCCGATTCCTAGCTAACCAAAAATTCCAACAAATCACAAAGAATAAACTGTAGTTTGTTTGGCTCTGATTCAATAAGGTCAAAGAAGGCTACTGATGAAGACAAATGAAGGACCTAAAGATGTGGACTAAAGATTCCGCCTAGCTACTCTATGGTAGAGTGGCTAATCTTTAGCTCCCAACTTATACACAAATTGTGAGGATGAAAGTTAGCAACAATCCACCAACAAGAGTAATGCCAGCCACCAACAGAGTGTACAAGAGTGTGAGAGTTGAGTTTTAAGAGTGTTCTCCTCCTCCATTGTTGTGATTTTGTAATTTCTCTCCATATAGTGAAATCCATTGCCCCGTGGATGTAGACGTATTGTCGAATCACGTTGACCTTGTTGTTTTCTTTGTGTGATTGTGTGTTTGGTGTTTGTTTCTGGTCCTGGGCACAACACTAAGATAAGATTCTTCTACTTATAGTGCATGTTCTTGAATCCATCTTTGAAAAATCTGTTCGTCGACCTCCTCGAAGCTAAACTCACATTGGGCATGCCTTCCATATTTTTGACACATTCGAGCAATCACGAGGACAATTTTCCATCTTTTCAAAACCTTCCCTACATAAATCACATATAACATCTAATACGACTTGCTTTTGTTGTAATAGTCCTTTGACCGGCAGAATATTGGAGCGAGCTTTCCCTCAAAAATTCTTATTCGTTGGGACTTGCAAATGCCAAAGCTTCTTCTAAAATTCTCTATTAAATATATCTCCATCCGAGGAGTTAGACATCTGCTCTAGTCCTCTAATTTCCATTTCAAGATGGTATGCAGACCAAATAGAGAATTTACCACTCTTTGTATAATGCCAAACCACTATGTCCGATGAAACTCTTGAGCTCGAAGGAATGCCAGAAATTTGTTTGACCTCGAATTGAGCAAAATTAGCATTAAGACCATCCTTCCACCAGCAGCCTCTATCTGTATCAATGAGATCACACACCTTAGCGTCTAATGGTAAAATAAAAGAGAAGCAATCAGTTTCAAGGTATGGGGTCGAGGCATCCATTTATTCCTCAAAATACTTGTTAGGGAAAATATATGATTTCTCACTAATAAACCAATCAATGAAAGTAAAAATTAATGCGAAAAAAATTAAATCAACGACACAAGAACTTTTGCGTGGTTTCCTCAATATGAGGTACGT